TCAGGTCTGGCTGGAAGGCTTCAGTCTACTGAGACTTTGCATATACCCATCTTCCCCCAGGGGCGGGCCTGCAGAGCAGGATATTTGCCTTACCACGGGGTGGGAGGAGGAGAGCTATGGTCTGAGCCTGTGTGTCTGCATCTGGCATATTCAAACACAGTGACCCTTCCCTTCCCTCCCCACGCTCAGCCTCTTTTTCCCACAATGTCAAGGGGCTATACCATCATGCGTGCATGTGTGTGTGTGTGTGTGTGTGTGTGTGTGTGTCTCCCAGGCAAGCTAGCCTCCTTACGGGTAAAAATCCACTCTAGGCATCTCCAGATGTTCAGCACCTGAGCAAGGCAGCTAGTCAATGAACACCGATAGATGAATGAATGAATGTTTCCACACTGATATCTTCAGGTTACAATTCAGTCTACCTGGATTGTTTGGCAAAGTTTAGGCATTCTGAAGCACTTAGGCACCCCCCCCCCAAAAAAAAAAAACACCTCAGCCCCTCCTCATTTCTGCCGTCTGAGTCAATTCCCCAATGGGAAGATGAATCAGCCTGCCACTATTGACTTAAGGCCTCAAACCTTTCCCAGATGCAGGAATTCTGAGCATTCCATGGGGGAAGGGAGAACGAGGGAAGGGGTGCCACACCCACCAGCAACAAGGAGGGCTCTTCAGGGGCTCAGGGGGTCTGTGGGGAGACCAGACCTTGTCTGGAAAGAAACAAGTGGGGTGGGAGCATGTCTGTGCGGGAGCAGGGCCTTCGGGGGACGGGGAGGAGGAAAGCTGGTGTGTCTGTGGTGAATCAGACTTGACAGATGGAGCTTGTGGGAGGAGCCCTGAATGGTGACGTAACCGTGACGTCATCGATAGACAAGTTAGCATCATGGCAGTGGCTGGCGTTTACTACGTGCTCAGCACCACACTGCCACCTTTCCCCGCGCAAGCTTCGCGTTCTTTTGACAGATGGGACAATCAGTGGAGGCCTAGAAAAGTTCAGCGCTAGAAAGCTGCAGAATCCAGTTCCACAGCCAAGTGTGTGTGGCTCCCCTAGGCCACCATTCTCTGCTCCACAGGCAGGAGAATGGACAGGAAAACTGGGGGCTGTGGCTGAGCACCCAGAGAAGGTGCCCAAACAGTAGCTGCAGCCAGATTCCAGAAAGCCTAAAGTGCAGGTCCAGGCGCCTGTCATTCACCAGCGATGAAAAGCCAGGCACTTGGAGATGACCAGACCTGAGCCTCCAGACCATCAAGCACAGGGACCAGGCTGCGAGGATGGAGGGGAGGGAAGGGACCAGGACGGGTGAAGACAGCAGCTAGGCGAGGAGGGGAGGTGTGTGGGAATGTGCGAGCCGCACGTCTGGTGTGGAAGATTATGTATGTGTGAGAGGAAGGGAGCCCGTGGGTGCACGGGCGTGAATGCGGGGACGGGTCTCTCCTGTGAGGGAAGATGGGGGTACAGTGACTTCCTGGAGAAAGGAGATGAAGAGGCAGGCCACACCAAGGGCTCTAGTGAAGGTTGGGGGGAGGGGGAGGGAGGGCTTGAGCCGGCCTACAGGAGCCGCCATATTGCAAGAAGAATGAATTTGAGACTTTGCCTCTGGTCTCTCAACACAGGCCTGGCTTGCCCTGTAGCTGGGGCATGAGGGGGGGGGGGCATGGTCATTCCCCCACATCTCCTCCCTTGCTCTCTCCACCCAAATCAGGTATGTGAGCTGGAGTAAGGCCCAGCCTGCTATCCAGGGGACCCCACCCCCATCCCCCATCCTGGGCTCCAGATCCCCCACGTATTTTTGAGACAAGAGTTTCCCTTTGTGGATTCATGTTTCCCAGGTCCGAGCCCCCACGGCAGGAACGCCCTGCTTCTCATTAGGGCCAGGGCCAGGCCAGTGTGGTGTGTCACTGCCTGGCAGCTTGTGTTGCAAAGGCTCCAGCCAGCCAAGGCCTCTGGGGCCCCAAGAGCTTCACAGACCCACTAAATGCCTGGGCCTGGGCTCCTCCAGAGCACATCCTTCAAAGAGGCCAGCCAGCCCTTTTGTGTGCCCAGGCAGAGCAGACTCGATGGAGCCCTGTCCAGGAGGGGCTAGCTCCCTCTGCCCCAGAGAAGCAAAACCTCTCTGCCTGACTCAGACACGGCCTGCCCCAGGGTGGAAGGGGAACAGGTTCCAGTGGCCGCAGCTCAGCCCTGCCCAGAATTGGGAAGCAATGGGTACAACTTGGGACCTGGAGAGAAAAGGAATCTCTTTCAAGATTACACTGTCCACACACATTTAAAGGAAGATGGAGCTGGGACATCGTGACTGAGACCCCTAGGGAACAGACCAGAGCTGGAGATGGAGCTCTAAGTTCCTGGAGGATTACAGTTACTTGTACACTTTCCAAGGCCTTTTGTAGGTTTTACCCAAGGGCCAATTTCAGTCTGAAAGGACACTAGAGGGATAAATGTATTTGCCCTTGGGAAACACGGGGCTCAGCAAGGAGCTGGGCGGGAATTTGGCTCCTCTGTGCCTCCAGGCTTTGTCCTTGGGTACTGCCTAGGCTAACAGTTTGCTCCCTCAGGGCACTCTTGGAGAGGCTGATCTGTAAGCCAGTGGCTATCAGGTGCCCTGGACTCAGACCAGCAGAGTTCAACGGAGGGAGAGTAACCGAAGTGTGTGCTCAGACGTAGCGGGGGGAGGAAGGTGGGCTGAGGTTCCCAGGTCCAGTGAACCGCTCCCTCTCCCCCTCTCCTTGCCACACCCTCCAACCTCACTTTAAAGACTGCCACCACAGTGGTACAAGCTTCTAATGTCTGAACCTACAAGGGGGTGCTCATACGTCCCTAGGAAGGAGCACCCCACTCTCCAAAAGATGAAAAGAAGGCCAGAGATACAGACCAGAAAGTGGAGGACCCAAAGATCTGCCTGTAACTAAAGGCTCCATCAGGGCCAGCCCAGCTGAGCCACCAGTGGGATGAAGGCCCTCAAGCCTCAGTCTCCCCACCTACATCCTGACAAGATTTCTCCTCCAAGAGTCCTGGCTCTGAGACATCTGATCCTGAGGTCAGGAGCTGTGTCTCCCTCCTCTCTGCTGCGCTCCCCAATGCCTGGCATGCGGTGGATGCTTCCAACAATTCACCGAGTGATCACATGAAACGCGCTCCCCACCAGCCAAATAGCTAATGGAAACTAGGAAGAAAATTCTTCTTTCTGGCACCTGCCACTGAAGGACCAGAGGGGCCCCAAGTCTCAGAAGAGCCCTGACCATCCCGGGTTCCTTGGCAAAACTGCTTCTGCGTTCCAAATGCACGGATCTGGCTGCAGAAGCCAAGCCGGAAGCAGGAAAATGTGACTTGGTAAGGAGGAGCAGCCTGAGCCTCTGACCAGAGCCAGGCACCCTAACTTCCCCTTTTGAGGCTCCCCTCCTCCCAGCGCTCCTTAGCTCTGGGGCACAGTAACAGGAAGAGCCTGGAGCCTCAGGAAAGGAAAGGACAATTTGGCATGAGATGTCCGTGCCCAGACTCAATTCTGGCTCCTGTAAAGGAATCTGGGTGTCCTTTCCTCTTTCTTCCACCTTCTGCTGGTGTGTGTGTGATTGTGTACGCAATAGTATGTGTTCCTGTTGGGACACAGAATGAGGGGAGGTGTAAGTGAAGTAGATTAGGGGGTGTGATATGGTGTATTGGGGGGTATAGATGTGGTATGATGCGTGTGTTAATGGGGGGTGTGAGAGTGTGTTGAGGGTGGGTGTGTTGTGCTCTGTGTATCATGTGTTGGTGATGCTTGTGACAGTGTGTCAGGAGGATGGAGGGGGAAGGGTCACCTGTTTGAAGTGGGAGCCAGATTTCCAGGGTCTCCTCTTTCAGAAGCCAAGGGTGACCAGTATCCAGGCAACCATATTGGGGGAGGGGAGAAACCAGGGGAGGGGAGGAAAGGGCAGAAAAGGGAGGGAGGCTGGGAATTGGAGGGGTTTCCATGGCAACCACCAGGCAGGTCACGTGCAGAAGGCCAAGTTGTGAAACAGAGACACACACATTCAACATATACAATATGAGGGCTGCTAGGTCCCCAAGGAGGGAGGGCCTTGCCCAGAGGCCCCGGGGTACCCACCAATCCAGCCTCCACCCTGGAAAACCAGGCTGGGCGAGGGTGCCAAGCCATGGAGACAAAGGAAGCAGAGACAGGCCACCCTGGCAAAAAGCCACAGGCCCTGGGGGTCTGAGGTTGGCCATGGCTCCCCGCTTTTCCAGCCAGCTTGCTCTACCACTTGTAAGAGCAGAGGAAAGCTGCAGGGCGCAGGCTGCTCTTCCAAAGCTAGGGGAGACACAAAGGGGGAGGCACCACAGGGCCACCCAAATGGGGAAAGGTGGGCATGGGGGACCCACCCCCCAGAGCTCCTGGGGAGCAATCAGGATTGCAGACACGGAGGAGAAAAGGGCTGATGCACGCTCACTCGGGAACCCCGAAGCTTTACGGCCCCCTTCTTTGCCCACACCCCGGACTGACTAAACCCCACGCCAGCAAGTTCCATTTTGTTCTGTTGATGTGTCCACGCTGGCACTGGGCCACGCTCCTCGGCACCCTGCTCCTCGAGGGTCCACGTTTCCAGGTAACAAAGGGAAACTCCTCAATCAACACGGGGGGGGGGGGAGAGCTGCCCCTCCCCTTCTCCTGAGAACCCGGGCCGCAAGCTCAGGGCAGCCCCGAGCGCCTTTCCCAGCCACCATCGTCACCCCAACATCTCCCCTCTCCCCCGCTGCCATCGCCCGCCGGCCTCCCTTTCCCGGAGACCCTTCCCCTTCTGACCCCCACTCCCTTATTTACAGCCCCCCGTCCAAACCAATCGTGGCCTCCCTGGGCGGGGGGCCGGGGACGCCGCTGCCCCAGGTCCGCGCGCGCGCGCGCACCACGGGCGCAAACAAGACCTGGCGCTCCCAGCCCGGGGTGTGGGGCGGGGGGAGGCTCGGACCCCACCCGAGCCCCCTCCCACGGGAGGAAGGAGCCCCCTTTGCCCACGTTCCCAGCACTCACCTGCGCGGAGGGTCCCCCGCAAGCCGATCCCGGGAGGACAGCGGAGTCGGAGGCGCGGGAGTGGCGGCTGGGGGCAGGGCGCAGGGCGGTGGGCGCGGCCTGGGCGCTTTCCCGCCTCCGGCGGCTCGAGGGGGGGGGCGGGCCCGAGGCTCACCCGGGTGGGGCGAGGGGGGGTGCTCCGGGGCTGGGTTCTTGGGGGGCTTGAGGTCCGGTGGCTTCTGGGAAGCGTCCCCCGCGCAGACCCCTCCCCCGTGCGCGCCGAGCTTCGCGCGGCGCAGAAGCAACAGGAGACGCGCGCGCGCCGCGGCGGTGGTGGTGGCTGCGGGCCGGGCGCGGGCCGGGGCCCAGGCCGGGCTTCGCCTCCAGGGAGGGCGGAAGGGAGCCAGATCAGCACGGTGTTGGTGATCGGGCCTCCGCGCGACCTCCACCGGCACCCTGCCGCCGCCCACCGCCAAGGGCCACGTCCTGGGCGCGGGAGCCCGCTTTGGTTGCAGTTGCCATCTGCTACTCAGTACAGGTGGGGCTCTCGGGGCATGGTCCTCACCTGTGCCTCACATTGTTTGTCTAGGCCCCCTGACAATACCCCCACAACCCTACAGCCCTGCCAAGAAGCTGGGTGTGTGACCTTAGCCTAGCACCCCCTCCCCCTACACACACACCCCTTCAAGATGACAGACTCTGAATCTTAAGATCCTCCTAGCTCTCCCTCCTCCCGGTGAGGAGACCTTAGTGTGAAGATCTGGAGTTTGCCTCCAGATTGACCAGGACTGTCTCCCCTTCTCCCCCCAACACATACATACATACACACACGCACATCGTGCCTCTAACTGTGGGGAACAAAACTTCTAAGAAGGGACCAGAAGCATGGCACTGGCAGAAACCCAATGGCAGATCAGCAGTAGCCAGGAAACTTTACCCAGAGAGGCTGCCGCAGGTGTGTGCAGGGGTTGGATGGGGCTGGGGTTGGGTACAAAGCGCCGCCCAAAAAGGCTGTGACTGTCTAAACCCAGGGAAGATGGCCACAGCCAGCAGAAGCCCAGCCCTCCAAACTCTTGGATTGTTCTTATACTTGGGAAATGGAGGAGAGGGATTAAATCATCCCAAAGTCCCTTCTAGCTGCGGCCCTCCACGATGGAGTTATTTTCACAAGTGGTCAGGCCTCAAAGCCACAAGGCAGGAAATACACGGGAATTCCAGCGGTCTCCACAGGCAGTAGAAAAGCTATGAATGGCTACTAAGAACTGGGTGAGCCTCCCTCACTTTCTGGGAGGTGCTGGGGAGGACGGCTGACCCCTGGAGCATAGGACACACGTTATGGCCAAAGCCCTTTGAGTTCTCAGGACAGTTAAGACCTTTCATTAAAGCTAGGCTCCCATCCGGCTGACCCATGTGATTGAGACCGGTTGCACCCCTCCCTTCCAATCTTTATTTCGTTTTGTAACAACTGTACCCCTACAGGCCGATGGCCTTGAGCAAGTAGATTCATCCCTCCCTCCCAATGCCCTTGAATCCCAAGTTCAGCCACCTCTCCAGTGCCTTAGGAGCAGCTGCTCTGAGGACAGGAGGCCAGGCTTGTTTGGTAAAAGCAAAGGCCAATGGCTGAGAGCTCCAAAGCCCAGCCACCTGTCCCTTCAGCCTCTTTCCTGTTGGAGGATTCCAAGGTTGGGTCAAGTTACTTCCCAGGGCCCTGCTGGACAGTGCTGGCAGCCTGCACTGCAGGGGTAACCAGAGTTAACTCCATCTGTGTGAGGGATGGCCAAGGCTTGGCTCTCAAATAGTGCATTCTTCATTTGATGTATTACAGCAGCAAAACCACACCCAGGCTTTGTGGGGGGGGGGGGTCACATCTCCCTTCTGGGGGGGGGGAGTGGAGAAACACATCAGCCTCCTACCCTTGCCATAAACATGCCAGGGGTCAAGAGAGGTCACCAGATACTCAGCTCTCCCAGCACATTTGGTGATATGAAGAGCTGCTCTTTGCTGAGCCCTGGGGTCCAAGGCGGAAAGGAAAAGAATGGTTCTTTCTAGCTAACGAGCCACAGAGATGCTTGTCAGATGGACCCATGTATTTGCGTGTAATTAGAACATGGCTCGGTGCCCGCAGGATGTAGCATTTAAGAAACAAGCTGAAGAGTCAGAGGGTGCTAAGGAGATGAGGTGAAAGAGAGAGGGATTGAGGTGTCAGGCAGGGTGGGGAGATGATTCTAACACTAGGAGCAGAAGCAACGACATGCAAAGGGCCTGAGTCTCCCAAGTTTGGTCAGCGAGCAGAGAAGGCTGGAGAAAGAAGTTCCAGCTTTTATCCTCGAGGCAATGGGGAACCAACTGAAGCCATTAAGAAAACTGTTGCAGGGGCAAGGAACTGGGGTGAAGTTCAGGGGTAGAGTGCTTGCCTAGCATTTGTGTAGACCTAAGTTGGGAGGAACCCCGCAGAAGGAGAGGGGGTAGAGGGGAGGTGGACTCTGTGCTAACAAATGGAGATGGATCCCGGCTTCTCTAAGTTTGCACCACCATGGCAAGAAGGAAACTAGAACTGGGAGCATGGGATGGATAGGGACCAGCACGGCTGCTGGGCGTGAGGAATGTTCCCTGCTAGCCATGCACTGAGCTCTCCAACCCACAACCCAAAGCCAAAACCCCATCTGGATGACGCTGGTGTCCCATGCCTTGTCACCTCGCCTCAGATAGGAAACTTGGGGCTGGCCCCAGGGGACAATTAAGACTCTTGCTCTTTATAGCCTAAAGATCTCCATTGAAGGCACAGGACATTGTCAGGGTGTTGCTTTGCCTTAGGATGCAGGCTGCAGAAAGCAGGGAGATCTTGTTCACCAAGATCTACGGACATCCATTTACCCTGGCTTAACTGTACTTAGGACAACAGACCCAGAACAAAATAACGCTCCCTAACTCCCTGGCTCAGACAACCGGCTCACTTCCAAACTTCTTCCCCGTCCTAGCTCCCACCCTCCCTTCTCGGACTTTCCTTAAACTCCTCCAGCTTTTCCTCAACCATTTGTGTTGGGCTCTTTGTCTCTTTCTCCAGTTTCTAGACAATCTAACCTATAATCAGACTTCTAGTTTGTCCCTCACTTAGGCTCGATGTCTGCTCCCCCAAGACACACACACACACACACACACACACACACACACACACACACACTCCTCTGCGTCTGAGACAAGTCATTCCAGGAATCTCAGTCCACTTTCCATCACTATAATACATGCCTAAGACAGATTCGCCTATAGAGGGAAAAGGTCATTTGGGTCCATGGCTTTAGAGGTTTCAGTCCACGGTAGGCTGGCTCCGTTGCTCCGGGACCTGCAATTAGACAGTACATCTCATGGTGAGAAGCATATGGTAGACAAAAGCTTCTCACTGGGCACTAGTGGCTCAGGCCTGTCATCCTAGCTACTCAGGAGGCTGAGATCTGAGGATCGTGGTTCAAAGCCAACTGGGGTAGGAAAGTCCGCGATCTCCAATGAACAACCAGAACACCAGAAGTGGAGCTGTGGCTCAAAGTGGTAGAGCAGTAGCCTTGAGCAGAGGAGCTCAAGGACAGCACCCAGGCCCTGAGTTCAAAACCCATGACCACCATCAACAACAAAACCAGCATCTCACCTCCTTTCAACCAGGAAGCAACTGAGAGGAAGAGGCCGGGTGCCTGCTGTCCCCTTCAAGAGCACCAACAGAGACCATTCCCAGTGGCTATGCCATCTTCCAATAGTGCCAAAGGCTGGGAACCAAGACAGTAACACACAGTCCTTTCGGAGACATTCCAGATTCAAACCATGGCACCCCATGTTCCTCCGTTTCCCTGGACTTTGTAAACATACTGTCTCCCACCCAGTTCCTCATCCAGAAAAACGGGGCCACGCTCATGCCCCTCCCCGAGTGGCTCTCCCCACTGCTCTTCCGACCTCTACTGCTCCTGTTCTGGGTCAAGCCTCATCTGCCTCAGTCTCCCCACCTCCACATCTATCAGCTCTTCATTTGGGAGTGTATTTCCCACAGCACAAATATGATTCAGGCTTTCGATGGTGACTATTTCCTGCAAGTTTAAAGCCAACATCTTAAGGTGGTCTTCAGTGTTTATGACTCTGTGTCTGCCAGCCTTTCTTGCTTTGTCTCCTGGCCCCCTCTACACCCACTTGTATATCCTCCTTGTCACGTCAATCCTCATAAATGCTGTACTCCACCCAAGAAGGTCTCATACAGCCAGGCCCTGGTGGCTCACATCTATAATCCTAACTACTCAGAAGGCTTCTTAGGCTTGAACTCCAGTCCTGGGTGCTCTTCAGCTCAAGGTGAGCACTTTACCACTTGAGCCACAGCACTACATCCAGTTTTCTGGTGGTTGATTGGAGATAAGAGTCTCACAGACTTTCCTGCCTGGGCTGGCTTTGAACCGTGATCCTCAGATCTCAGTCTCCTGAGTAGTTAGACCTGAGCTACCAGCACCTGGCTTTCAGAAGGCTTCTTGCACTCAAGGCTAGTGCTCTACCACCTGAGCCACACCTCTAGTTCTGGCTTTTCGATGGTGAATCGAGTGAGTTAATCAAAGTCTCAGACTTTTCCTACCTGGGGTTGGCTTTGAGCCTTGAGCCTCAGATCTCAGCCTCCTGACTAGCTAGGGTTACAGGTGTGAATCATCAGTGCCCATCTCTTGAGATGCTTTTTAAAATTGTTATAAAGGTGATGTACAGAGGGATTACAGTTACGTAAGTAATAAATACATTTCTTTTTGGATAATGTCACCCATTCCTTTGCTCTCTCCTTGTTTTTCCCTCACTTGAGCTGCTTTTTATACCAGGGTCTTGGTGATAAGGGGGAGGAGGGGGGTGTATAAAGAAAGCCCAAAGCATCCTGAGGGAGAAAAGTCTCTACATCTCTACTTTTTCTATGGAAAAATTAATCCATGTATGAACATAGTATTATTCCAGGCATGTTAAAGCCTGGATGAGATTTATTTCTAAGTGAAAAACAAACAAAAACCACCCTGAAGATATTCGTCTGGAGAACCAATTGCTGCCTGATGAACTTGAACTTAAGTGTGAAGTATCACCTGGAGGCGTGGATCCTGAATAGATACTTCTCTTCCAG